TGAGGTGTAGCTGTAAACCAGTGCATATGTAGTAAAAGTTACAAGTTTCTCCAGTGCAACTTCTTATTTGTTTGTAAAGCATCTTTGAGTGTCCAAAAAAATGCTACATAAGTCTGATGTATTATTTATTTATTATTATTATTAAGTTACAATTAAGAATGCAAAAAAAAAAAAAAGAAAAAAAATCAGCAGCAAAAATTTCAGCAGCAGCAACATTTTGTAAATTCAATCTATATTTCCAATATTTTGTTTGTTTCTGTCACATTAACTCGTCATGTGTGAATGAAACCTCATCTACTAATGCAAATATGACCAGCCATTGTGCTCATGGGCAAGACACTTCCTACTCTGTCAAAAAAACAGGACTAAACCAGGTCTAAACCAGCACTAAACCGGGACTGAACCAGGACTAAAATCAGGATTAAACCAGGACTAGACCAGGACTAAAACAGGTCTAAACCAGCACTAAACTGAGACCAAAATCAGGACTAAAACCAGGACTAAAACCAGGACTAAAATCAGAACTAAAATCAGGACTAAACCAGGTCTAAACCAGGACTAAAATCAGGATAAACCAGGACTAGACCAGGACTAAAACAGGTCTACACCAGCACTAAACTGAGAGTAAACCAGGACTAAAACCAGCACTAAACCGGGACTAAAATCGTGACTAAATCAGGACTAAAATCAAGGCTAAAATCTGGTCTAAACCAGGTCTAAACCAGGTCTAAACCAAGACTAAAACAGGACTAAACCAGGACTAAACCAGGACTAAAATCCGGACTAAAATCAACAGGACTAAAAAGGACTAAAATCAGCACTAAAACCAGGACTAAAACCAGGTCTAAACCAGGATTTAACCAGGACTAAACCAAGCACCTGGTTGAAAATTCACCCAATTTGAAAACCTCTGCTATGTGTGAAGGGCTGTGAAAATTCTCTTTCTATTACTTGTTAGCGTGGGAATCAGCTCAGTGTTGCTCTCAATATTCTACTAACTTATTGCATTATAGCCTCAGGAAGTACTGGAATTGGACCATCAACCTTATCTGCTGTCTGTGCCTAATACTACTTCTACTCATATTACTTAATACAGCCACTATAAATACAACTACTTTATAAAACTTCAAATAGTTCTTCAAACTTTACATCTCTTAACTATTTGTTTGGTGGTTCGATCTCAGCTCTAACAAGTGCAGACCGTGGTTGTGTCCTCAAGCAAGACACTTAACACACACTCAAGAATGTTGTGTGTATGAAGGACTGGTAATGAAGGACAGTAGCTTAAGATTCATAGACATTTTCCAAACACTTCTGTCTGATCTAAACTCATATAAAACCGTGATTGGCGTTTTGCCTAATTTAAATAAACATACATACATTACGCATTTAAATCGCGAGCTACAATAAATGTACACCCACCCGTGTCACTGGCGACCTTATAGACTGGGACATGTTCCTTTCATATCTATGCTAAATATTACACATAGCCTGAGGAATGTGGATTGTATGAGAAGAGTCGTTTTTAAACGACGTGCCAGCGCTACGTACGTTTCTGAATCACACAAGCAGGATTTTTAAAGCTCCTATATTATGAAAAATTGACTCTTGTGAGCTTTAAAGGTGCATTGTGGATGGTCCGTGAAATGCTGGTCTCCATGGAGATTATTAAAGCTTTTTATCCTCACGGAGACCAAACTGGGCCAAATTACAGGTTAGATCTGTGGAGAGGCGACCAGACTTACTTACCAGAATGCCAGTTCTAGCTTTTTTTTTTTTTGTTTTTTTAGAACTTTATTGCCAAAAGTGCGTAACAAACAATGACAAGTGTTGAGATTGGACTCTAAACCCCAATTATATGTAAATAAATACAACAGACAGGTGAGGCATACAAATAAAAACAAAACAAAAACAAAGCTCAAATAAAGATGGCACGAGCGACCATCGCCTTAAAAAAATATCCATTAAGTTGACGTTAGGCAGTCAGACACTCAATCTGATAAACATACTTTAATTTTTGTGTCCATTGAACGATCGTTGGTGAAACTGGTTTAAGTCAATTCAGGGTCACTGTTTTTAGCACTAGTAGAAGTACATGTAACATGTACTGTTGGTCCTCAGTGAGCGACTTAGGGTATAAGTCAAGCAAAAATAAAATAGGGTCCATTTGGGATATCTGTTCTAATAGTTTCTTCAATCTTCTTTTTGATACTTTCCCTAAATGTTCTTATTTTCGGGCAGTCCCAAAAAATATGAGTGTGGTCTCCAACCGTACCACATTCTCTCCAGCGCTTGTCAGTGGTGGTTGTCTTAATCATAAATGTCTTTAACGGGGTTCTGAAAAATCTGATATTTGTTTTCCAATCAAACTCTCTCCAGTTTTGGCTTCCAATCCCTGTGTGAGAATATAAACACATACTGTATGTTTCATTCCCAGTGATGTTTAATATGAAGAATACTGTCTGATATGTTTTCAGATAGGTCTCTGTACATTAAAGATATATATATTTTTTCATTCTAGTTTCTTTTTCAAACAGTTTAACAAAATACATTTCTATATTAGTAGACTCTAAGTGTTTCTGAGCTATAAAAACAACCTGTAATCAAATAAATGTAAAGTCGAGCTGTTTAATGTCATACTGTGGAACATTCCAGACAGAGCAATGACAATCCAATCCAAAAAGCAAACAGGTGACGCCACTAGCCTTAAACAAGGTTAAAGGTCAATCGATGGTATAAGGCCCAGTTTTACCAAATGCACATGGCTAAGTTACAGGTGTCTCACACAACTATTTTCCATAAATATACAAATACATGACACAAAACGATACACTACAACTACACAAACCTGATGCACAGTAGTTTCATTAGCAGGATGAGCGTCTGTTGTGTTCTGATAGGGTCAAAAAATGAAAATGAAACTAATTAAACATTTTAATATGTTGTTTTTGATGAATGTAGCATTTTCAAAACAACGTGGTAAGATAGAAAGTGATCGACTGTGTTTTTAAACTCCATAAACCTTGACTAGAATCATTTGGAAGATTTGGAATTGTCAATCTCTACTGAACTAAACATAAAAGGTACATTGTTAACGTGAAAACAACCATTACATGTATTTTAAGCTTTGGAGATGTAGACAGGCTTATAATAAACACTTACTTAATTATGTGTGATGAAACAAAACACAACTCCAGTTCTGTTTTTGACGCACTAACAACTTTATAACAGCTCACAAGAGTCGATTTGATATAATATAAGACCTTTAAACTCTGATAACGACTATGAGGAAAAAGTGCAGAGAGACAATAGAGATTCTAGCCCCGAACAAAGACACAGCGCTGGGGTGAGGAAGAGGAGGTAGTTTGATTTTCTCCGTGGCGCTACCCTGTGGTGTGTGGGGGTGGTGGGTGTCTGGGTGTCTGGGGTGCTCGCTTTAATCAAACATATTCAAATAGCAGCGTTTGACCTTTACTCTGTGAGCGCCGGGTGCCATGGTGAAGACTTTGAAGGTATCAGAGAGGAGAGAGAGAAGGGCGGAGGGCAGGGAGGAAATATGTCTTCTGTGTATTATCAGATCGCTGGGTCACTTATGGACTATAGACGGTGATGTACATGTTTGGAGACAGTTGGTGGTGATGACGTGTAGTATTTGTGTACTTTGCTTTAGTCTGATGAAGTTTTCTAAGTTGTGACGGGTGATTTCAGTTTCGATTCTGTACAAAGGAATGAGTTTTATTTGCAAAGTCATTGAAACACCTTGACTATAAGGAATCGTACTTTGTTATTTAGAGGATATAATTTCAAAAGTGCATTAAAAAAAGGATTTTCGATACGGCTGTGATATATTACACAAGGTCGGTGATATATGGTCATGTATAGTCTTAAATATTGTAGCTGTTTTGGCAGACTGAAACTGGCTGAATCTATTGCTCGCTACATTAATAGAATCATCTTTACTCTTCCTTTTAGTCCTCCAAATGTCATCCCTCCCCCCTCAATCTTCCCTTAAATCCTCACTCCCCCCTTTAGTCTTCTCTCTCCCCTTTAGTCCTCAAGAGCCCACCCCTTCTCTCCCCTCAATCTTCCCTTTACTCATCACTCTCCCCTTTAGTCAAGACTTACCTGCCCCCACTTTCCCCTTTAGTCCTCAAGACTCTGCCCCCTCACTTTCCCCTTTAGTCCTCCAGACCCCCCCCCATCTCTCCCTTTAGTCCTCCAAACCCTTTCCTCCTCCTCTTCCCTCACTCTCTTTTAGTCCTCACTCTCCCATTTAGTCCTCCAGAATCCACCACTTCTTCCCCCTCACTCTCCCTTTAGTCCTCACTCTCCCCTTTAGTTAAGCAATACCCATACCCCTTTAGTCCTCAAGACCCTGCTCCTCTTCCTTCCCCTCTCTGTCCCTTGTAGTCCTTCAGACCATACCCCTTCTTTTGCTCACTCTTCCCTTTAGTCCTCACTCTTCTACCTCACTCCCTCTCACTCTCCCGTTGAGTCCTCAGGACCAAACCCCTCCTCCCCCCCTCACTCTCCCTTTCAGTCCCCTTTCCTTTCTCCTCATCCCTTACTCTCTCCTTTAGTCCTAACTTTCCCCTTTAGTCCTCCTCCAGACCCTTTCCCCCCTCCTCTCCCCTTTACTTCTCAAGACTCTGCTCCCGTCACTTGCCCCTTTAGTCCTCAAGACCCTGTCCCTCTTCCTCCCCCTTCACTCTCCCCTTTAGCTCTTAAGGCTCCACATCACCCCCTGCCCTCCTCTTTCCTGTTTAGTCCTCCAGACCCCACCCCTCCTCAACCCTCACTCCCCTTTAGTCCTTCAAACCTCCTTAGAGACCCCACTTCCTCCTCACTTTCCCCTTTAACCCTCAAGACTCCACCTCACCTCCCGTCCCCTCCCTCTCCCCTTCAGTCCTCCCATTTGTAATCTCTAAACATGACTATTAAATCAGTACACTTATTAATCATTTAACTTTTTTTTTTTCTTTTTTTCTCCGTTTCCAGTGTGTCCCGGCACGGAGAACAAGCTGAGCACGCCGTCGGACCTGGCGCAGCAGTACCGCACGCTCAAGAAAGTCTACGAGAACTGCGAGGTCGTCATGGGCAACCTGGAGATCACCAGCATCGACCGCAACCGCAACCTGTCCTTCCTCAAGGTAGGACGCGCGCCAAACGGAACGGAACGACGTGGAATGAAGGAAAGAAAGCTTAGAAAAGAGAGGTTTTAGAATGAAAGTGAAAGTGAAAGTGAGGGCGCTGAGTGGTAAAAGGAGTAAACGGAAATGAGAATTAAAAAAGCTAAAGTCTGAAATCATTTTTGAAAGAAGTGAATGACTTTAAAATGCATATTTGACATAAAAGATCATTTATGTAGACTAGATGAAGGGTAATTTCACGCCAAAAGTATAATAAATAAATAAATAAATAAATAATAACTAATAATAAAAATAAAAAAATTTCAAAATAAATAAATAATAATAAAAATAATAAAATAATAATAATAATAATAATAATAATAAATAATAATAACAATAAAATAATAATAATAATGTTACATTTTGGTGTCATATTAGATTTTAAAAAATTACAATGGAGATTTTTGATATATTTTTTTGTTTTGTTTTCTTCAAATTTAACTTTGCTTTGGAAAACAAAAACAAAAACAAAACAAAACAAAAAAAAACACACAAAAAACACACACACACACACAAGCCACATATTTAGGCTGAAAACCTTGTGATGTCATGTGGTACAGCAAGTGCTCCACCGCATTTTTAAACTCCACACACCTTCACTAGAATTTGGATCATTTCAACTCTGGAATTGTCAATCTCTACTGAACTAAATGTAAAAGGTAACTGTTAACTTCAAAACTACCGCTTCATGACATCACAAGGTGGAACAGAGCAATTTTGTGCTAAAGTAGAAGTTTGCCGAAATGTTGCTTGTTTGTTCTAATTGAACCGGAGATGTGTGATTTTCAGAAAACAGTCTTTGAAATTAAAAGTGCCCATTTAAATCTTAAGGGTGGAAGTGGTAGAAAAATAAAATTAATTCCTGTTGTATTGAACTTTCTTTCTTTCTAATCTACAATGTTAAGACAAACAAACAAAAACAAACTGACCCAGTAGTATTACGCAACTTTTCTAGTGGGGAGATGTCTTTGCTTTGCCTGCAATGTTTCACAGTATGGCATTAAACTTGTCTGTTTCCATGGAGCTGGATACATTTAAAGAGGGCGTATTATACTTTTATAACGGCTGACACATCACATAATAAAAATTTGCCAAAAAACAACATATTAACACGGTTTTATATCACTCTATCCCCTCCCTTGGCTCTCTGTTTTAAGTCACTCCCCCTTCAGAGCGCTAACACAACACATCCGCGTGCATCCCGCTAATGAAACTACTCCACATTGCGTCAGGTTTGTGAAGTTGTAGTGTACAGTTTTGTATCATGTATCAAGTTTTTTTTATATTTATGGAGAATTGTCATGTGGGTGGAGCCATGTACAGGATCCTACAGTTAAGCAGAAAGTTAAGGCGGGTTCAAATAGTGCCCAGGAGAGATCACTAGATGACTCAAACATGCATAGGTGACATCTAAAACCTCTTTAGGCGTTACAACGTGGTAAAAAGCTAAGAAAAAAATAATAAAATGTGCATAATACAGCCTCTTTAATGATGCCATACTGCGGACCTCTCACAAGAAAAGTTCCATAGTAGACCTTTAAATACAAAAGCAACATATCGTTAAAAAAATGTATATAAAAACCTATCTGTATGTCTATATTTGAATGCTTCACTAGTTGAAACTTGTGATCAAAAACATACAGTCCAAATGATAGAACAATTTCAACTCAGAAATTCAGAAATCAATCATTGCGGATTTTCACATTTTTTATCTCAAATTATGCATTTATTTAGTCCACGTTGTGCATTATAAATAGCTGATATGCATGTTTGCGTGTGCACAGATGTAGGAAGAGCGCTTTGAAATGGAAATGTGGTTTCATGTACGGCGTTTGAGATTTCAGCACCACGGACAGCAACTGCTTTTTTATGTGTTTTTTTTTTTTTTTTTTTCAGGGTAGATATGGATCGGTATAAGCCATAAATGAAAATAGTGTAATAAGATGGAAAAAAAAGACACGCACACACACATGCACACACATGCGCACGCACACACACACACACACACACACACACACGCGCACAGCAGAGGGGTTGATTTAAGGAGGTGGTGTTAACTGCTGACTTGTAACATATATAAATGTTATATTGTTCTATTATATTCACCAAAAATTCCCTTTCCTCTCCGTGCTAAGTCGCTCCCCCTTCAGTGCTCTATCCCATTACAATCAGCGTGCATCCTGCTATTGTAACTACTGCACATCGCATCAGGTTTGTCATGTTGTTGCGTATTATTTTGTATTATGTTTTTTGTACATTTAAGGAGAATTGTCGTGTGGGAGCATGGGTGGCGTAGGTTTGTGGGCGGAGCCTTGTACAGAATCTTACAGTTAACCATAAGGAGGGTTGGAACAGGGCCTGGGAGAGATCGCTAGATTATTCAAACATGCACAGATGGCATCTAAAACCTCTTTTAATTAATTAACCATTGGATTTATGTAACGCATTTCAAGATACCGTAAGTGCTTTACAGATCATTATTTATTTACTCCCCACTTGGTGATGGTAAGCTATTTTTGTAGCCACAGCTGCCCTGGGACAGACTGATGGGAGAAAAGCTGCCAATCTGCGCCATCGCCAATCTGGCCCCTCTTCAAGTATGTTTCTGATGAGGGAACAATGTCATAACATGATGGAAAACTCGAAAAAGTTTACTTTGCATAATACCCCCTCTTGAAATAATCCACAAATTATGACATATATTTGTAGTTTTAATGGCTTTCAGGTTATCTGGGGAGGTGATGGGTCAAAAATACAAATCAAAATATTCTAAGAAGACTAAAAACTTTTTATTAGGCACATTTATTATTTAGGTTAAAGATGCATTTTGTAACTTTTCTGGTGGAGGGTCTGTCAAATGCTTTTCTTTATAGAGATATTTGTTGTTGTTGCTTTTCTGGAATGTTTCACAGTATGACATTAAACCTTTCTATCTTCATGGAAACCAAACCTGATGAAGTTGCAGGTCAGATCTGTGGAGAGGTGACCCCACTCACAGTCAGAATGCCTGTTTTTTTGAGGTCTTTTTGAGCTATAAAACCACCTGAAATTGAATAAATGTAAAGTAGAGCTGTTTAATGCCAATGATGTTTCCACAGCAACAAGCAGATGATGGACCCTCCACCAGAAAGTATATACTATAAAGACTGTGTTTATAGTGTAATTCAAAAAGTACAATTAACTCAACACACATAAAAACAGTCTCTTTGCTTTGTGATGATCGCTCAAATTTCAGCACCAGGGACAGCTCCACATCTAACTCCCGCTATGGTGAGGGCGAGGGCTTTTGATTCAGCACCACGGACAGAGGCGAAGAGGAGGAAAAAAAGCTGAGAAGTTTGAAGAAGAAGCAGCCGCAAAAAAAAAACAATGGGAGTACAAAGTTGCAGCGCTAGCAAAAGTCTCCGTGTGAACAATGGGCTTTTTTATTTCACAAAACGCACTTCTTTCTCTTCATCATATCGCCAGCTCCGTCGCTATCTTTGGTTTGAGAATTCCCACAATGTGTAATTTAAATGCGTCAGACCACCCACGGTTCTACTTACTGCCGCTTATCGTTTTTTGGCTTCTGATAATATGAGAATTTATCTTTCTTTTGTGAATGGAGCAAAGTTTGAATTAAAGGAACTGTCCTCAATTTTTTATTTTAATATTTTTCTCCATGTATTTGAGCAAAGTCGTCTTGCTGCAGTGCAAATATAAAGTATAAGCTGCTCCTGAGGTTCCTGTGTGCTGTCTGCATCTAATCTCAAGCCTATAGTACAATAAACAGGAAGTGCGTGTTAGCATGCTAGTCCCCAAACAGTACCCACATCGATGAGGGGACTGTTTGGGTTCGGCACCTCAAAAATTATGGTCACTCCACAGTCACCAACCTCAGCGTCACCTTAGACAGTGATTTTAAATTTGACAATTTCATTCAATCAAATCAAGTTTTTATCCAAAGTCAAACCTTTTTTTATCTTTTAAACTTTTTGAACAAGCAAACTAAATATGAGTGTAAAGCAAACTATACAAACGATGAATGTTTGCCTATCATACATCATTTGTGCTGGATATTTTATTTGGCATTAATAAAACATTTGAAGCTGCCTCAACTTGCTTCTCGGTGTTTGATAGTGCTTAAGAAATTGAAGGTCCTCAATTTGCGGGATTTGCGAGCGAAACGAAACATCGCAGATGCGGTATGAACGGAAATGAAAATTACAATTCTTTGTGGGTGTGTGCGGAAGTGGGACTGCACAACAATGCAGGTGCGGGCGAGGGCAGGACTGCACGATGCGGGTGCGGGCGAGAACGGGACTGAAAATTACGTCCCACACAGAGCTCACTGTAAGAAAAAGTGTTTTTAAGTGTTTTTGAACAATACGGTTATAATAAATGCAAGGTAAATAGGCCAATGAGATTCATTTGGTTTTCTGATATTTTATGTTATTATTAGGTTCTTTGTACAGACCTTGGCATTGAAACATTTACCTTGCGTTATTAGCTTCTTTTTTCAGACCAAGAGTTTGTTTTCATACCTGACAGTTTCAGACGACTTGAGAGTAATAGAGTTGGCAGTCCCAGCTGATAGAGGCAATATCCCAGGTGTCCCAGATGAAGCCCGCCTGTTTTCCCGTCCCTGCCTCCTCAGTCCGTTTTGTATGATTGGGATGAGGGACTTTTTAGCTGTGAGACTGCAAAACCTGTTTAAATCTGACCGGACACGTCACAGGAACATCATGTGACCACTTTGAGGAAGACCACCAGTCAGTCGAAACCGTCAGGTATGAAAACAAACTCTTGGTCTGTTAAAAGGTAAATAGGTTTAATGCCACAGTGGAACATTCCAGATGAAGGAATAAAACCACCATGCAGACAACTAGGTGGCATACCGTCAACCAAAGAAGTTATGTAAGATGTTGATTTTAAATGTACATGTTTTTGTCTATAGACGTGAGGTAAACATGTTCAAATCA